TGGTAACTAGTGTATTAGATAATACATGAATATAGTAATTGTACCCTGTAAACGACCCTTAGCAATGGAGAAAAAAAATTCGCCGAGTAGTTTTGGTTTGAATACCGCATACAAGCATGTCTGTCGAAATTCTGAGCTTTGCTGAACTTGAAGAAAAGCTTCGGAATCTAAAAAATGCTCTTGGTATAAATGTATCTTAGACAAGCATTTGGCTCTTACTTGACCAACAAACATAGATTTTTTGACTTATATATTCTGTTATTTTGTTTTATTCACGCTTCGACCTGTAAATAGTGCACATATGCGCTATATTACCCTTAAAGTACATTGCTGAACTAATACATGATCGTCGCATACTAAAAACAGATACCCACATTACCCACATGTGGTTAACCAAGGCCAACAGGCCTTGGAAAATTGGCATGTGGTTATCTATGTTTCCCACATGCCCAAATGGGATTCCTCGGGTACACTAAAAATCACGAATCGCGCGTGTGACAATATTTATGAAAACGACAGTAAGGATTTACTGACTGGTCTGACAGATGTGGCAAGGTGTGGTTCAGCAACGTATACAGAACAACTACTGATGAAGAAGAGGATCAGCCAGTGAGTAGCAACGCTATCCAAAAGTCTGGTCAGTGGGAATCTGCTTACTGGCCATGAGATATTTTTTTGAAAAAAAAACCGATCGTTATTACGTTAACGTTCGATTACTTAGTAACTTAGTATATTACTTTTCCTAGTCATTCCTACGATCGGCAAGCAGGTTACACGTGCCATGTCTATACAACAGTGACACTTTGCATTGCATTGTATGCTGTGGCATATGCTACACATCTGTATTCCAATTCTCTATCTCAATCACACAGACAAATTTTCAAGATGTTGTCTACAATCTCTATCATAGCTGCAGGTACGATGGACAGAGCTTTATGTGCTTGACCAGTCTCCGTAGGACGCTGTACAGTGCTGAGTGTATACTGTTGGCAGGGAGATCACCAACTAATATTGTTAAGGTCTACGGGGGGTTGAGATATGAGCAGAAGTGCGAAGCACGGCCTCTGATGAACACTATCGTTCAAGAAGAAAACGTCGGATTGGAGATAGAACAGTCTGAAAGAATAGCGCTCACCTATTCGCTAAACGATATAAGCCAGTCAGCCTCGCTGTCGGCAGCTGTATTAATTCGTGGACCTGTTCGCAGGCTCATACGAGCTCCTGGGCCTTGCACAGCAACGAACTCTGATTGTGTGCTGAATGAACTAGACTGTGCTCTTCTGTATCTGTTGCGCAAACCCAAAAGAAGGCGCTGGCTCATGAGACTAGCAATCGGGGCAGTAACCGCAGTCGCAACCGGAACGTAATCGGCCTGAGTGAACGTTAACACACTTTGTGACGGGAAGTGAACATGGACATTACTCATACCCCACCAGCCAGCCACAGCACCTCGGTAAAGAGAAGTGCGGCAAAAACTCTAGATTAGAACAATCGGTGAGATGATCCTTTTGTCAATGCGTGAGCTTACACAAAGAAATAAATGACAGAACCCGTGATGAGGAACAGCTTGAGCTGGTTAATAATACCAAGCTCCCTCTTCTCTCGGAAAACCTCTTTGCCTTTGTATGTCGCAAGTCCGAATAGGAAGGTTTCATTTACAAGTGCAGGAATCCAAAACCCGATATGGTCGTTAGTGGAATCAAATGCGACGCATCGGAGCATGCCCGTGTTTATATCTAGTGTAGATCAGTATAGATTGTCTGCAAACAACCTGATTAGGGGCCACGCAAACCTTCAAGCAAGGTACCAGCTTCATTGACCATAATGGCAACACCAACACCGAACATTGATGCTATGGTCGCCATCAAGGAGACCCCAAGAACAATAGTTATAGACTTTCTGGCCCTGTATAGTGCATAGAGTCGAAGTTGGAGAGTGACTGAAAGCACCGTTAATAAGGTTTATAATGCTCCACGTATTAAAGGCTTACCTTCTGTGAGCATCGTTATGATGACACTCGAAATCCAAGGGACTCGGACCGCTAGGTTGCCTTTCAGGAATTATTTACAAGATTAATATTTCACACGTTCTGAAGTGAAAAGCAAGAGCCATACAGCTATGTTTTTTGATTGATAATGTCGACTCGTGTCAGCGTTTAATCAACTGATGACAGGTACGCACAGCTATGGATCAAAGAGGGTCAGAGAGTTACAACATACTAAAAGAAATGTGAACAGATGTTACGTACAGTTGTGGAAGTTGTAGAGAGCGACACTGATACAACCGTCATCCTTGCTGATAAGACAAATTTTAGCCATAAAAGTAGAAAACTGACCTGACGCGGTGAAGCTGTACATTTGCCAGATGAGAGGGATAGGCGATAAATAGGTTGATGCGGCTTACACGGAAAATAATAGGGTCAAGTATTTAGTCTGTGTAAAGGCAGGAAATAAAAATTAGATGTATGTTAAGAATAAAATAAATAAACAAATTCTACGTACAGGAAAATACAATATTTTCCCTGAATTGAGAGGTTTGGACTAATCTCGCGTGTTAGCTTTCATGCTTGATTGAACATAATCTTACTCACCCACATAAGTCGTCCTTCATCAGCAAAGCCCAGGACTGGACTCAAATTAAGGATCGTTGAACGCGAGAAATGCAAGATTAACATACTAGCATCATAGGTTAAAAGGCAGGTCACTGCAGCCTGTGCATCTTTTGTTTCGATTTGCGTCAGTTCAATCTATGAAGTGCAAAACGCATACATAAAGCGGCGTCTGTGAACGAGATAAGCTCCGAAGTGCTTGTTGACAGTGCCACGACACTCATTCCTGCTGGCAGAGATGCAAAGACTCGAAAGAGGGAGGAATGACTTTAGTTGCCCGTATTTATGTAACGGCTCTGACCGGAGACTTTTTTATTACGGTCGCCATAACAAGTCGGAAGAGTTGGCATTTTGTATCACGACTAAGTGATCTATAATACGCCTTTTGGTTAAAATACATTGTCCGATGCAGAACATCAGCGCCATCAGATGGAGTACAGACGGTAGTGTGGGAAAGAAACGAAAAGGTACTGACCGAGTCGATTTTGTAACAAGGGACGGAGTCAGCGCATCTTTACAGTAACAATCGCTTGTGGTCGGTAGTTTTGCCGGAGTCTTTAGTTCTTTCCCTCATTGACCTTCTTGTTTATAGAACAGAACGCTGTCTAAAATTGGGTAAATATTGCAATAAAAATGAAACTATATGGAAAATAATGAAGTTAAATAAACCCTGTCTGTAGGACACGGTATAGTGTCTATACAACACTGATGCTAGATAGGGGAATCACTGGCTACGGTCGATCGCACATGAAGGGCTGAACTGCTCAGTTGTCTCTTTCTGAGTTATCGTCTACTGTTGAGTGGGCGCTGAGTGTCTCGCCTCCATGTGACGTCCATAATTTTCCAAAATCCTTTCTTGCGGGCTGCAGCAAGAGTTCAGTCTTCGTCTACGATTACTTTTTCTCCAGGACCGGAAATGCGTCTCTGGATGTCAGGATCATAGACCGTCCTCCGAGAGAGGGTTATGATCCAACGATCTACGCGAATGCTGATTCCAAGACGGAGAAGCTTAGTGCATTCGAACACTTCAACAAGCTTGTGGCATGAAAGTACGCACATCGAAGACTGAGGAAAGTAAGGAGGTGAGTGGAATGGAATGGATCGAAAGATGCGAGTGCTCTGAAGACGTCATACCCTCTAATCTTACTCATGCTCATGAAATGTATGCCCTTTAATACATTTGTGTTAGGGCATTGCAAAAGGCCAAAAGATCTGCTTTAAGCAAGTCTCTCAAGAGCCAGTCTGTGTAAGTATGCCTGTTATTGACAATGATTTCAGGTATGCACCTTACCTATTCTCCAAGATGTAAATTGACGAAATATGTCTACTGCGGATGCCATTAAGCAGTCACTTCGCCTTCTGAGCTCTCTGAAAGATGACTTATCCTAATTAAACTCACAGTCTCGGAAATTCTATTAATGATCTCAAAGGTATAATGATGGGCTGGTGAATTGGAGGAAATGGATGCTTTCGTCAAGAACGGACTCAGGGATTGACTCATTCCGAGTCGCACGGTTCCTTGGCTCTTGCAAACTGCACTGCGGACCCGGGGGATAAATAAGAACAACCGGAACACCTGGAGATGCATATTTCTGTCTTGCAGATTTGTATGCGTGTATAGGTAGAAAAAGGACTTACGGAAAACGACTGTGAAAACGGTGACGAAGGAACGCTATTGAAATCCGCTGGGAGGCACGTCGTGTAAGTGGATCTAAGACCGGTTGGAAGCCAAAAGGCGTGGGTTTAAATGATAAGAGGCGGCAGATTATAAAAAAGGGTGTGATATCAGTTAGATGACTGGGCAAACACAATGAATCATGGACTCAAGTTGCTTTGAGTAGTATTTCAAAAAAGGATATGTCGATCGATGTGCCTTTTTTGTGGACTATTACCAATGACGTAAGTCTCCATAGTCTGGCGTTTTTCGCAGTCCGCAACGCCCGTTAGACGCCATTTGACTCGACTGCACAGTAAATATTATGCAATTATCAAACCCCTATAAAAACATCTTTTCTAGGCACTCTGCTTTCACCCCTGAGGGTCCAGCTTGAATATCTCCCAACTTGTTGTCGGATTAATCCCATTCTGACTTGGTATCACCATGTGAGTGATTCAATTCTTTTCAATTCCTTTCTTATTTATCGACGAGCCAACTTTCGACAGAAATGGTCCGCAGTGCTCAGGCTAGTGTGTCAAGAAACTCCTGTCACTCTGGTATCTGGACAGATCCTCGTGTTGACCTCACCTTCAAAGCGATCAACTGGGAACTTCTGGCAGACGTCGTATGTCAACACTATGAAGTACAAGAAGCAAACTGGGGTGAACGAAAATCTGGCGGATACAATCTCGTTCGATTCTTGCACTTGGAAGATAAAAACAAGACCACTGCCGTCGTTCGAGTACCGCTCCACCCGGAAGATGGCATGACTCCGGAACGGGCACAGCTTAACGGCCAACGAATCGCGAGTGAAGTTGCAACAATGCAATACATCGAAGAGTTCACCACTATTCCTGTGCCACATGTCATTCTTCATAGCTCTGCTGCGGATGGTGAGGGCGTGGGGTCATCTTACATTGTTATGACCAAAGTGGAAGGTACTCTGCTCGCTGTAGAGTGGGACAAAATGCCGGACGATAAGCGGGAGATTGTACTCCGACAGGTCGCGGACATCTTGCTAGAGCTTGCATCGCATCGTTTCGATAAAATTGGTGCGCTCGTCAAAGGCGAAGGTGAGGGACGCGATGCATGGAAAATCGAACCACTTTCCTGTGTTTGCGACCCCGACGGCGAGGATTACGATCCCAATGCATCAGAAAAGACGTATTCTAGCGGAACAGACTACTGGATCTCAAAATGCAACGACAAGCTCAAGAATATTCATGAAAACGACTTCGGGAGTGAAAACAAACTATACAACTATTCGTTTATTTGGTTCTTGAGGTCGTTGATTCCTGCGTTATATGATGCCACTCTTGATGAGTCCGGGTTCCCGTTGATGCCCTCCGACTTTCACTCGCAAAACATCATGGTTATGGATGTCGAAACCTCACCACGGATCACAGGCGTCATTGATTGGGAATTCTGTTCCACAGCTTGCACATCGTCCTTTGCGCAGTACCCTTTCTTCATTGTTGATCACCCCGCATGGCGGGATGATCATCCACAGAAACCTCGGAACGTCCGGGATCAAGCCGCATTCAATAAAATTATCCTTGAAGCCGAGAAGAAGAGGGATCCGAATGGCGACCAGCCTCTCTCGCGAGCATTTGCAAACTGCCAAGGCGTTTACCTCTTTGAGCAATGCATGTCGTCAAACTTAATGTTCAACACGCTTTATCCTCAGCTATACTCGTACGTATTCGGAGATGAAGACGGGTTCTCGACGGACTATTACTGGGCACTGTGCGAGCATGGTATTCTCCGAAGGGAAATTAAACGATTCGAAAATGAAGTAGAGGTATGGAAGGAGGCTAAGGAGGTCTTACGCGACGAGATTGGCGAACAGATATTCACGAGAACCGAGTTTAGAAAGTTCGCACGGCAACACGAGGCTCGCTTTCCTGATGGCGGAAAAGTGCAAGAGTGGCTTAAGACAGCAGTATAATTAAGTAGCCTGGTCCCAAAGATAAAATGTACGAAACACAGAAAACATACGTAATGCCAAACAATGAAAGAGAAGTCTAATTCTATCTGTTCTATGTGCTATCATAGAATCTATCTGCCATGGAATCTATTTCGCAGATGCTGGATCCACCGTCACCACCGCCATGACCTCTCCTTCGTTTCCGGGAAGGTGCTGGTGTCCCGCTTCTTCACAAGTATTCATATCTTTTCTATCGATCACTCCCATCTCCATATCCCTTCCAACACCCTTTGCCCTGTGCTTTTGCGCATCGAGACTCTCAAGCGCAAGCTTCCGCATCTCTTTTTCATCTGCACGAGTTAGTTCTTTATGATGTATCATCACCGCCGCAACAGCGACAGACAACGCGGCAAGCACTGAGTTGAGTATGAATACTGCACGGAAACCGTGAGTATAGCCGTCAAGAATGGACTGGACGGTTGTCGTGTTGATGCCAGCGAGATCAGGGCTAACAACAGAAGAGGAAGACAAAAGCGGGTGGAGGACTGTCGGATCATCGATAATATCATTGATTGCTGGGGTGGCAATCTTGAGTGCGGACATCTTCGCGCGAAGAGAATTGTTTCTGGGATGTGTCATTTAGTGTCAGCCATAAGTCGATCATACCTGCCAACGTACATGATAGTACTTCCGATAGCGAGAGAGAGAGTGCCGCCGAGGAGCCTAACAAACTTCAACGACATAAGCCATTTAGGTCAATCGTCGCTTGCAAACAGGACTTACATTCCGGACAGCGGTAACGACAGACATATCGCGGCGTGAAACGCTAGCCTGCGCCGCAACCGTTGTCGTTTGTAGTGTCTGTGTGAGATAAAAATAGGTCATGCACAATTAAAATAACCTGATTATAAAAGATGAACATACCTGTCCAGCACCGATACCAGCAAGAAGCATATACACGACTGGTCTCACCGTTCCGGAACTGGCGTTAACGGTTGAAAGTAAGCCACATCCAACGGCCCAGACGCCAAAACCAATGTAAATGATGCTCTACTCAAGCACGTGAGAATACGAAGAGAATGAAATAGGACCACAACATACTCGGTAGCGCCCTGTCCGCGATACGATTACGCCCTTCCCAAAAATTCAATGGAATGACATGTCTTATCATGAGTAGATACTTACGGCGATGAAACTTGCCAAGGTCTGACTAACTAGTACGGGAAGTAAGAAGACGCCTGAGCGGATTGGCGAATATCCGAGGGCGATTTGGAAAAACTGGGGGAGGTAGTACAGCGATGAGTTGAAGACGAATCCACTGGGGTCGTTGAGAGTCAATGTCCTAGGAATGACGACAAATGTGTAGAGAAGTGGTCACGTACTTGACAAACATCGTTATGTACACTCCGGAGACAGTGACGTGCCTGAAAATGTACACTATCGAGGGCGTAAGTAATGCGCCGATTCCATGGCTTCAGCACGTACTTGGAACAATTGGTAGTTTCGCGACTTTCCACTCCCAGAGGCAGAATATAGAAACAACGCAGATACCGGAGAAAAGTGTCGCGAGGACGATTGCGGAACGCCAAGGAAAGGTAACACCTCCCTATCATCAAATGTTAACAGATATTCTCTCAATATGAGTTAGCTCTCCTACCCAGATCAAAGGAAGAATGACGAGTGTGCAACCACTCAGGGTCAACGCTGTACCAACATAGTCGATTGCAAGGAGTTTCCTAAACAGGACTTGGGTGAGCATGTTATCGTATTCGGAGTGAACAAATTCACCTTTTGATATCGCCCTCAACACTTTTCAGCGGAAGAATGTATGTCACTATCACTATACCACATAGGGAGACTGGGAGAGTAATCCAAAAACACCACTATAAACAAATTCATGAGACGAAAACGTAGCGTAAGGGGAACAGCATCATACCCTCCAGGAGACCTTCTCGCTCAGTGCTCCACCGATGAGCGGTCCAACGCCGTAACCCAACGCGACAACTACGCCGATAATACCTTGATATTTTCCTCTAATCGAAAGAACGTAAGCAACCTTGTCACGTATGCAATGTAGCTCGATCGCACCTGTCCCTCAAGCTTACAACATCCGACATGATGATTTGTGCCATGGAGACGATTCCACCTCCACCAGCCCCAGCAATACCTGATTTAAACGTGGTCTTAACGAAAAGTCGTACATTGAATCTAGATGGGACGCACCTCTAAATACAATCGCTTCGCTAATCTTCCTTGAGAAACCCGCGGCAAGATTTCCCAACATGAAGACAGCCATGGCTAGGCACAGAGCGACCTTCCTACCAAAAATATCCGAGAAGCGTCCATATAGTGGCTGGAATGCGGTGGAAGTCAAAAGGTAAGCCGACGGGATGAACGAGGATACAGATCCGGCATGGAATTCGGCCGAAATACTTGGGAGAGCCGTTGCAACAAGAGTCATGTCGAGCGTGGAGACTACAATACAAACTGCGAGTCCAGCAAAGACAGAGACGACCTTCCGGAACGGAAGCAAATTCGTTTGGTCCGTCAGCTTGAGTTCCTTGTACGATGCACGATGTGTATCTGTATGTATGGCTTCCGTTCCATTTTCGTTGCTGTCCTCATCATGTAGCGACTGAATGGTGGGCGATGCAGGGAACGGGGAGCCTAAATCTGCGTTCATAACCGTGCTCGTACGACTCGGGAACAAGGATGAATGCACCCCGTGCAATGTAGGTGTTTCCTGGTTTGTCGCGTGCTCATTTTCGAAAGACATCGAGGTATACAAGAAATGAGGACCTTGCTGAGCTCAAGGCTTGTCGACGATATACTCGTAGTCAAAGGGTAAGATGCAACGTGTTTTGTTATCGCACCGGTCCATGATTCAGAAACGGGAAAATGCATGCGAGATTTATTTTCGTCTTCGTCCGTTCGGTCTGACGTTCCGAACGAGCTTATGTAATATAGTAGTCTTCAACGGATGGAAAGCTTAACTTGGACTCTTCTTTCTCAAAATAAAGGGACATGCTAAATCCTGTGGGATCCAATGCAGCATCTTCCCAAGTGCAAGTCGCAGAAGAAGTCTGGAGGGGAGTCTAGGAAGCCTCTCATGAGGAAGTTGGTGGACAGTGACACGGGCAGTCTGCACTCGTATTGGATTCATCGTCGGAAGAATCGGTCGGGACAGAGTTTTCCAGAATGCGGCAAGAGCGGCAAGATTGTGGACGGTGCGTCTGCCGAAGACATCGTTATTCAAGAAAGAAGGCCGATAGGTGACAGAAAAGTGACTAGGGACTGGCGTGGCATCCGCCACCGTTATCTGCACCAGCTATCCGCGGATAGCTTATCCGCGGATGAATTTTCCCACGGTTACCGCAGTATCCGCGGTTGAGTGCTTAGCCTAGCCGATAAAAAATTCACGTTGCTTTAATTACCTAAGTGTGACATTAGTCACAGTTGTGATGTATCACTAGTGATTGCATAAGAAACAACAGTTGATTTCTACTTGTCTAAGTTAGTCCCGCAAATTTCCGGCTGTTTTTTGCGGATACGCAGGAACTGCGGTATCCGTGGGAATTTCATCCGCGGATAAGTTATCCGTGGAAATGCTTATCCGCAGTGCGGTTTCGCGGATAGACCCATCCGCACCAGTCCCTAAAAGTGACATTCGAGCAAAATGAATGGCGAAGTCACGGGTTGTGGAGGCGTGAGAACACGTTCACCGGACGCTGCGGACCGGCTCGCACTCTCCACCTCTGTATCCCAAAATGATCAAGTCTTCGTCGTCTACTCACCAATACCAGTAAATTACAAGTAGGTCATACCAAGGAGCTTATAAAGAATTAGAATGGTGCTGGGCACAGGACCCTTCTCCATATTTGAACATTTTCAAGGCCCTCCGCACGCAATCGCGGAATTGTTCCTAAAGGCGCTATAAGTATTCGTCCTTGTGACCTATCCTACGATTTTCTATGGGCTTCTGCTTCTGTTTATTTCTGAGCTGATACTGTGCTATAATACACTCGTGCGAGATACCTCAGTCAGCAATCTCACCACTCTTCAGTAATCACCATGGCGGACAAAGTACTTGCAGGCGAGCCAGGAGACGATTGCTGTCGCGGTGTACGACATTTCGGCGAGCCGAAGGGCAAGATCGAGAAAATTGCGGGTGTTGATACATATATTACAGCTCCGCCGCAAGGAACGAGATCAAAGGGCGTGATATTGTTCTACGCGGATGTTTGGGGACCAGTATTTATCAATAACAAACTCATTCAGGACTATTTCGCGACTCAAGGTGTGACAATCTCTGATACATCTCAGAATGTCAGTAGCTGATGTCCGGCTTTCTTAGGGTACGATGTCGTTGGTATCGACTACTTCTTTGGTGACCCCGTTTACATCCACGATGGCGAGCAAGGCTTCGACAGACCCGCATGGATGGCAAAGAGCAAAGCCCAGGCAGCTGAAAACGAGCCAAAATGGTTCCAGGTTATCAAAGAGAGATATGGTGCGTATATACGCGTTAACTCCTCTATTATATTTTCGCATATAATAAACTACTGTATAGGCCAAGGAACGAAATACTTCGCCGTCGGTAAGTTCTATATAGCAATAATATTCTTTAGTCTGACGACCGCATTCATTCAATGCCAAATAAATAAAGGTTACTGTTTCGGGGCACCCTATGTCCTCGAAGCAGGGTCAACTGGGAAGACAGTCGCAGGTAGGTACTTTTTTGCATAGTTGCAATACCATCTAGAACTAAATTCTGTCTGCTAGGCGCGATTGCTCACCCAGCATTCCTGAACGAGAAACACTTCTTCGATGTAACCGGTACGCCCCTTGTTTGTTCATCCGGTCAATCAAGCTGATGTTCTCTTGGTATGTTCCTTTAGCACCACTTATGTTATCATGCTCTGGTGAGTAAAGAAATGGCTTGGTTATGTAATACTTTTACAATCAGAAGCCCATTGTTTCGATCCAAACGCCAAATCAATCTTCAATGGGAGCATCTGTATATAACTGACTGAACTAACGTGCACATAGAAATCGACCATACATTCCCAACGGACTTGCGCCGTCGTGCTGAAGATATCCTCGTTGAGAGGAAGCACGATTACCACTTCCAAGTTTTTGGCGGTGTGTCTCACGGCTTCGCAGTTCGTGGAGACCCGAATAACAGCAAAGAGAGTGAGTGCAGTATATGAGCTCTAAACGAACCGTATACCAAATAAATATCACGTTCAAATAGGATTCGCTAAGGAGGAGAGTGCGAGGGGTATTATTGCTTGGTTTGATCGTTTCGCGTAGTATTGTTCATGAAGGGTAAGGTGATAGATATGATTGAAGGAGTTTGTGCTGTGCTTTATATGCTGTTTGTATATAAGTATCAAATACAGATATACCGACCGACCACTTGATGTATCTATTTGTTCTCACTTGTAAATCAGAGCACTATAAACGAACCGAACTGATGATGTTTACAGCATAAGTATCTCTGGTTGGATGAAGCTATTCACTAAGAGACTAATGAACACCTTTCAGCATAATCTACCTCTATTGCTTTGTGCTTTGCTATTTGTACTGAAAGTACAGTATGCTCATACGTTACAAAAGGATATTGCTATAGATTATCCATTGGACCAGCAATACATAAAATATACAAGGAAGAATGTAAACAGATGAGTTAGCACACCAAACCACATAAGGAATAATTAAAAAATACAACGTCCAGAGACCAAAGAAATCTGAAATGGCTGTGTGTATGGTCCGATAAAAATACGCCCGTGGCTAGACTATCGAAAATATTAAAGAGGTCAAGCGAACAAGAGATTTGCTCAAGTAAACTGCGGAATAAACGATACCCACTTCACTTTGGTATAAGCATTAGCAGGTAGACCCCGGAATGAATACCCGATGAGTATAATAAGATAAAACCGTGCCACTGCATACACTGAAAAGAAGGCGGAGAAGAGTGCATGGAAAATTTTGTATCGAAGGGATTCCTTGTCATTGCCTTCAATCACAAGAAATGAAGAAAAAAATGCAGGGCATCCTATTAGGACTATACAGCAGATGTGCCAAATCAGTTGACCATTCGTATTTAGGAAAGTTGCATTCCATGCTGCACAATGGATTCCGCCGAATACAGCTCCAAATAATGATATTACAACTGGGATAGTGTCTGTAAAATACACACGTTAGATTACTAGCGTTAGACAGTTAATTAGAATGCTACAAACATCTATCGAAGTCTTCCTTAGACAGGCAAGTTACGACGGCTTCGAGACTCCTGATGACTCACAAACGTAGCCCATTCTGTGTCCCAGGCTCGGAATCCTCCGACATCACGAAAAAGTTG